GTTCTCATTTAGTTTTCTCACAGTCAGAGCTGTTGGGGAGAATGCTTGCTGCCTCATCGAATTGGCAAGATGCTCCTTCCCGAGATGCCTTAAGGTTGCCACTGACCTCAGGATAGCTGCAGAAGGCAGGAACAGCTGGGTCTGCCTTGCTCCCATCCCCTGGCACAATGGGTTCTGGGGAAGGAAATGCTATTATAATTTGTATCCTCAGCCCCTTGGCTGCTAACCAAACTATCGTAACTCGGAGCAAGACAGACACTCACACCCAGCAAGGGCACGGGCCGGATGCAGGGAACAGGAACTGGGGACAATGGGAAGAATCTGGGGTGCAGCAGCAGCCACAAGCTGTCCTCCAGCTTGCTCTCAAAGTCTGAGCTGCTCCTTGTGCAGCTACTTCTTTATGAAAATATATGATCTAGGAAAACCAGTTAGACACACTCTTGCCTTTGTACAACTAACCACCTCTCTCCCTCTTCTCTGAATAATGTCCACGGTTGAATCCTCATGTTTCTGCAAGCAGAAGTTAGATAATTCTTGCTGGTACAGAGGGAAGTGTCTTAGTCACTGAAAATCAGCCAGGCTTTGGCCTAACCCAAAGACAGCAGAGTGATAGCAGGGTTTTCAAATTGTGCTTTATCATGGAGCATGAGTGTATTGCTTCTAAATGGTCAGTAATGGCACTGACAGTGCGTTTTGCCTATTTTTAATGTCTAATTTCTTTTTAAAAATACCTTGTATTTACTGTTCTTTGCAAATGTCTTTTCTGCATATTTTGGATGGGTATCTCCAGTCCAAAGTCTCTGGGTATCTTCCATTTGGGATCAAATCCTATTTTCTTTGGGTACTGCTCATTGTAACAGTATAGTGAGGGATACTGTTTGTGAGCAATCTGACTGTCTGCCGCAGGGTTTAGAGCTGTGGTGCGCTTCAGGAGGCATTGCATACAATACCAAAAACCCAACCTGGCCATCAGAGAACGCTTCTGAAAAAACTTGAGTCAAGATTTGCTCTCCAAGCCTGCTTTGCCCTGCTTGCACAATGACTATTTCTTTATACATTACTTAAGAGAGAGTGGTAATGGTGAAGGACCTGGAAGTCACTATTATATTTCATTCTTCGGAGGCTGATTCTACAAGTAGTCCTGTTTCAAAGGTGATTCCTTTGGGACTGCGCTGGCAGAAGAACTTTTGTGAAAAGAAACAGTAAAACTGAGTAGAGACAGGAATATTTAAAAAGTTGCTTTTTACATGGAGTTCTTTTGTATTATCTCTTCTCCTTTGTTAGCAGACCCTTTCTGATGCTCAGGAGAGTTGATCTGGCTGAAAATGCAAAGTGGAATCTGTGAAGAGGAAACACCCAGAGGAGATAAAGGATGTCATTATACTAGTAAATTAAATGTGCCCAATTTTTTAGTACTGAAGCCAACCGACATGGAACAGCCCATGTCCATTCTACTAAACTCCAAATTTTGTCTGACTGTGAGTTGCTAGATCCAAACCAGGAGCATTTAGCTCATTTCATATATAATACAAATGTGATTTTTATCTAAGCAAGAACAGCGACTACATTCTAGGCTTGATCCCAATTTTAGAGATTTTTTCCTTGCTTTCCGAAGGTTTTGGATCAAGCCATATGTAACTTTTAAAATTACATTCCAGGCGTGATATTAGTTAATGTACACAGCTTTACTGTGTACAAATGGAAGAGCAGTGAAGACTGAACATCTATGAGCGATTACCTATAAACATTGTAACTGGATACTTTATAGCCAATTCTTTCCTCCTTTATAATATATGTAGTAAATTGTATAATCTCCAGTAATGAACATTTATTATGGTAGCACAAGGTAGAAATACATTGCCCTTACATTGCACCTTGCAGGAAAGAGCCTCATAATGTTCTACAAAAGGTAAAGGAAAGGTTCTGTTAATGGGGCTGCAAAAATGGCTTACATCAGAAAACATTCACTTTGAGTACAGGATTTTTATCTCTTGGTACCAAAAGTACCAGAGATTCAGAACTTAGATTATCCAAATAACTTCCAGATACCACCTGAGAGCCGTAGTCTTGCTTTCTTAATCCATGTGTAAGTCTGAATATGATTTCATCGACTATGATTTCGTTTTGGTGTAATGCCATTGCCTTTAACAGCATTATACCAGTTTTGAATTATACCTGCAAGCAGACTCTGGACCTTTGCGTTATACTGGCAATTGTGATTATCACTTCTTGTAGAGTTCACATGCAAATGAAGGTAGAGAATCTCAGAGGCTGAGTTTTCCATTATCTTTGTACAGTTGCACTTTTTTCAATAGCAGGTGCAAAATCAAAAAGAATTTCATTTACTATTTAATATGTTTTACTTTTCATCATTTTTTTAAAAACTGTTTCTGATAGTCTGAAGTTTGCAGTGTCTTTTTCCACACAGGACTGTAAGTATAAGTAATAAACCTCAGGGAATTTTATTCCATAAACAGATCACGCAAAGGAAAATTACCTTGCAAGTCCAATTTCTTATACAGCTGGCTTTACCACCCTTGTTTACATGCTATTGTAAAGATGCAGAGATGACAAGTACCCCATTTTGTATTTGCATTTGTACCCCCAGCTGCAGATGCAAAGAGTCTGCACTTCAGTCAAGCGGATGGATACAGAAGAGCCTGTATAACGTGGTATCTTGCCTGTAAGAATACAGCTATTATGTGTTTGATTGCCTATCAGTCTAGAATTAATCTGACAAAAAACACTGTTGTAAAATATCAGGGAAAATTTGAAATATAAAGGCAAAGGACATGTAAAAGATATTGAAAAATGTTCAGCTAAATAGCTCCTGGGTCTTTTGATTAAAGATCAGATAAGAGATAGCAATAATAACTTGTATTAAAACAAATTGTAACCAAAAAACTAATTTCACATTAGGGTGGACTATTGGATTGGGCCGATTCAGAAACTGCTTCTGATTGCCTGTGTGTATTATTTCTTCTCCTTTTAATTCATTTTATTTTGAGGCTGAACTGTAAGGAATTTTGTGAGACAGTGTTCTCATTAAAAAAGACCTTCCCATACAGATGGGCCAAAATTGGAACTTCTGACTTGAACAGCTCTGAATTTCTGTGCATGCCTGCATGCATGTTTGACGTAGATTGGCTGCATGATTTTGGTTCTGGATCATATACAGAAGAAGAAAGAAACCTAGCAAGCAGAGTTTCACAAGAAT